AAAACACTGGTAACCACCGATGGCATCAGCACCAGAGGCAATTGCCCTCCTTTTCTGTTTGTCCCCAGCTTCTGGTCAGTATGGAGTGAGGTAAGCCTTCCAAGGAAAGAAGGAATCTGGGTGGATTCCCAGAGGCGCAGGTAGGTTTAGGGGTCAGAGGGACTGAGAGAAGAATTCAAAGGACAGCCCCACGGGCAGGCAGCAGGTACCTGTCAGGGTCTTGAAACGGGTCAGTGAGAAACAAGACAAAACAGAAGTTGTCTTGGGTCAGCTGCAACTGTCGATGCGGAAGAACACCAGGGAGCCCAGCGGAAACACACATTTTAGAACCGTTATTTTACAATGAAGCAGAACACCAGAGGTCCTTTTTAGGGCGGCCACCTCAACTGAACCTTCTGTGTGAAAAGTTTATCTGGAAGTAAACCCCATAAAAAGTAAAAAGTAAGAAGTAAAAACATAAGAAGTAAAAAGTAGAGACATCGCCCTGCCAACAAAAGTCCGCATGGTCAAAGCAATGGTATTCCCAGTAGTCATGTATGGCTGCGAGAGTTGGACTATAAGGAAGGCCGAGCGCTGAAGAATAGATTCTTCTGAACTATGGTGCTGGAGAAGACGCTTGAGAGTCCCTTGGACTGCAAGAAGATCAAATCAGTCAATCCTAAAAGAAATCAACCCTGACTGTTCCCTGGAAGGCCAGATAATGAAACTGAAGCTCAAATACTTTGGCCACCAAATGAGAAGGGAGCACTCACTGGAGAAGACCCTGATGCTGGGAAAGATTGAAGGTCAAAGAAGACGGGGACGGCAAAGGATGAGATGGTTAGACAGTGTCATAGATGCAACGAACATGAAGTTGAGCAAACTTCAGAGGACAGCGGAAGACCGGAAGGCCTGGCGTGATCTTGTCCATGGGGTCATGAAGAGTCAGACTCGACTGTGCGACTGAACAACAACAACAACAAACCCCATTACGCTCCAGTAACATTACTTTGGGTTCAGAGGGTCACCTCAGAAGAATTCATTTGTGGGAAGGAAGGAATCAGAAAAAATCATTAATGGGAGTGCATGAATTTTGCAATTGTCTCTGCCCAGACAGTTGTGGGGAAGGTGAGGGGTCACGATTCAGTAGCAGAACATCTGGTTGGCACGCAGGTGGTCCCTGGTTCAATGCCTGGTACCTCCATCTTAAAGGATGAGGTAGTAAGTGATGTGCAAGCCCTCTGCCTGAGACCCTGGAGGGCTGCTGCCAGTCAGGGTAGACAATGCTGACCTTGATGAACCGAGGTCTGATTCAGTATAAGGCACCTTTATGTGCCCCTGTGTATGGGGGTCTGGCCTCAGGCATATTGGTTGGAAAGTGGGAGTCCATTGCTAGATGGGAACTAGGGAAGGAAATGGAGGCATTCATAAAATATCTATGGTATTTCATTTTGTTCAGACCTGTAGAGCCCAGGCTAGCCTGAACCCAGCAGATCTTGCTAGCTAAGCAGGGTTGGCCCTGGTCAGTATCTGAATTGAGACTACCAAGGAATACCTGCACTAATCAGGGCTATTTTTGGGCAGGAACGCACAGGAACAGAGTTCCGGCTGGCTCCCAAGTTGGCCACGCCCAGCAGGAACTCATTAGCATAATAGGCCACACCCAACAGCAGAAACTCATTAGGATTGGCTACATTAGGGGTGTGTGGCCTAACATGCAAAGGAGTTCCTGCAACAAAAAAAAGCCCTGGGTTTTGACAACAAACAAGGTAAACCGAATAAGAAGCAAAAGGTGGGTGTGGCTGGATGGGCACACTTTTGGTAACATGGGGGTGTGGCCTAATATGCTAATGAGCTGTGCTGTCAGGGGTGTGGCCTAATAGGCTGATGAGTTTCTGCGGTTGGGTGTGGCCTATTATGCTAATGAGTTCCTGCTGGGCTTTTTCTACAAAAAGAGCCCTGAAAGATTATATCAGGAGTTCCCGTTCCCTTCATACTCAGTTTGTTATTTAATCCGGCCATATTCCAATAAAAAGAGCATATTTTGTTTTTCTTGTCAGTCATTCTTGCCTTTAGAGGTGGCAAAGTTCCCTTTCGCTGTCTCCAACTGGGACTCAGTAGGAAAGGCCATTTGAGCAATAGGGCCCAAAGTGCTGGAAGCTCTGTATGAAGTACATTTTTGCGGACTAATCAACGGCTGTCCCCTAGCAAAGATCCCTTCTGTGCCTTAATATTTTCCAGAGTGACTATTAAATTTTGCAGTCCTGGAAAGCATATTGTTTTGCTCAAAAATGGGAAGTAAGGTGAAGGATGCCGACAAATTGCTTTCAAAATCCTCAGGGTGGGCCTGCACACTTCCCTTTGCAGGAGAGATGACCAGCAGAGCAGTCTTGTTCACCTCAAGGGAAGGGGAGGTCAAATCAATAAGCATCTCCAGATTCTCTGATGAGTGGGAGGCCGAACTAGATGGCCTTGTTTCCAGGATTAGTTTTAGGGCACCCTTTAGTCATGATTTGCTCTTTCTGTAGCCCCCTTATTCCCTGTCTAAATTCCTTTCTTATAGATGACCTAGAAAAAAAGTAGAACCTTTGCTCTTTGAACAAAAGACTGAACCAGGAAAATCCCATATGTTAATAATAAATCCCACCTTAAAAAATTAATGAAGGAATCCTTCAGGGGGGGGAATTCTAATTTAACCCTATCCCCCCTCAGGAACCCATGAAACATATCAGAAAACAGCTGATGAAAAGTGGCAGTGCAGAAGAAAAGCAAGATGTTCTTTTGCCATCTGCTTTGTTGACCAATTAATCATACGTCCCTCATATGGAATAACATTTAGAACTGTATTGTCTACCAGACCAAAGGGAGGCCATCTCTGTTAAACCTTTGTTGTTTTCCTGATATCCTTGATGTTCTTTGCACCCCCTGCTACTTCAGATATCAACTGAATTTCTTTTAATCGCTTCACTCTTATGTCTAATTAAGAACATAAGAGAGGCATTGTTGGATCAGGCCAATGGCCAATCCAACATTCTGTGTTGGCCAAAACCCAGGTGCCATCAGGAGGTCCATCAGTGGGGCCAGAAGTCCTCCCACTGTTCCCCCCCAAAACACCAAGAACACAGAGCATCACTGCCCCAGACAGTGTGTTCCATCTCTATGTGGATAACAAACAGCCACTGATGAACCTCTGCTCTGCATGTTTATCCAACCTTCTCTTCAAGCTCTCTGTGCTTGTAGCCACCACCACTTCTTGGGTGAAGAAGTACTTCCTTTCATCTGTTCTAAGTCTACTGCTCCTCAATGTCATTGAGTGCCCACAAGTTCTTGTGTTGTGAGAGAGGGATGAAAGTACTTCTACCTTTTCTATCCCATGCATAATTTTGTAAACCTCTGTCATGTCATCCTTCAATTGTCATTTCTCCAAGCTAACAAGCCCTAACCTCTTTAACCTTTCTTCATGGGGAAGATGTTCCATCCCCTTAATCATTTTAGTTCCCCTTTTTGGTACATTTTCCAATGCTATAGTATCTTTGAGGTGTGATGACCAGAACTGTACACAGTATTCTAAATTAATACTTCTGACCCACCCACATCTGAAAATTAGCCAGGAAGACCTGAAATTGTTCTGCTAGAAAATTAAACCTTTCAAAGAGTTTTTGCAAGGTTTCTGCAATTGGATGTGTCTAAGATGCAAGAATTGCCATCTCCCCGGATCTCTTCCGTTTAGTAGCATTCCGCTTTAATAATTTGTCAAAAGCTTTTAGGTGGGCAGGGTGAGGGTGTCTGGGGGGCAGTATAGAATCCTCAAAACTGGGTAGAGCAGGCACATCATTTAGTAAAGGGGCAAACCTATTGGTGAGTACAGTTGGTGAAAGCTGCTGAAAATATTCCTCCACCAAACTTTCCGGAGCGACCCCAAACCGGCTGGGAAAATGAGGATTTCTAAAACTTTGCTGACCACCCGGATCGAGCGCTAGCCGCCCCGCGCTCCATCGTGGGTTCTTCTTGCACCCCTCCCCCCGAAACCCAACCACACCCCAGTGTTTTAGTTGCTGCTCCTTTGGGATTTGTGTATCTCTAGTTCTCGAAGAAGGGAAAACGAAGGAGAAGTCAGAAGAGGAAGCGGCAAGAAAAAGACTGAAGGAGACTTGGGAGCTGTCCTGCCCCGCCCCCTCAGAGCTTTAAATAAGGAGTTGGGTCTCCTGGGCAGTCACTCATAAAAAGGTAAAAGTTTCCCTTGCTCGAAAGCCAGTCGAGTCCGACTCTAGGGTTGCGGTGCTCATCTCCGTTTCAAAGCCGAAGAGCCAGCGCTGTCCGAAGACGTTTCCGTGGTCATGTGGCCGGCATGACTAAACACCAAGGCGCACGGAAGGCTGCATCAAAGCGGGGAAATGCTTTCCAAGCTTCAGGCTTCCCATCCCAGGGTCTCTCTCTTCGAGGTCGCTCTAGTCTAGTCAGGTACTGCGGATTTTCACGGAAGTGATTTAAAAAAATGCTAACTAACCATGCAGCCATAAGCAACACAGCCCGATTGTATGCGTCATCTACTCGGGAACTGCCTCGAAAATCTATGCGTAAAGAAGTGCACAGAACGCCAAACGAGTGGCACTTTCCCCGAGTAAGCTTGCCAACCTCCAGGTGCTGCCTGGAGCTCTTCTGCTAATAGCAGACTGCTGTTAACAGTTGATCCCTAGATGGCAGGGATCACTTCCCCTGGAGAAAACGGTTGCTTTGGAAGGTGGGCTCCACAGAACTATATACCAACGAGGTCCCTCCCCTCCCCAAACCCTGCCTTTTCCAGGCTCTAGCCCCCAAATCTCCAGGTGTTTTCCAACCCAGAGCTTGCAACCCTGTTCCCGAGTAAGCAAGGCTAAGACCCTTGTCGGGTCAAAAGAGGCAAAGGAAAAGGGCGTATAAGAACCCACCTTTTCCCCCTCGAGCTTTTGGCAGGCTGTCCCGCTTGTACGTACTTTGTACAACCAGCCGTCTCAATAAAGTTGTTGTTGCCGGCGGGAAATTGCAACATGGCTGCGCCCAGGGAAGAGGCGTGACCCTTTTCGTTTCGGGCTTGCACTGACTTTGCGGCTGCTACACTTATGTCTGGGGCTGCGGGTGAGTGTCAGACGCATTAAAATATATACGCAAACGGGGCTGCTTGTACCTAGAGATTTTTAGGGGCATTTTCGGCTTGCAGCTCCCATGGCTAAAATGAAAAGGGCAAAAATGTTGCTAAATAACTTTTTTGGGTTTTTTTGCAGTACCCAGTAAGCCACAATCGAGTGCATTTGTTTGCCTGTGAGACTCTTACAGCTAAATGTTCTAAAGTACCAGAGGAGTCTGAGGGTTTGGAAGCCTAAGGAGTGAATGAGGGATTTTTGAGGATTCTGTAGGCTGCGTATCTAAATGAGATTAAAATACATCTGAGGGTTAGATCGAGGCTTTTGTTTTGAGATGGAAGTTTTAACGTGCGAACGCCTTTCCCCCGCTTTTATCGAAGTGTTCTAAAGTATTATAGGAGTTTCGGATTTAAACTTTTAGAAACGTAAAATGTGAGTGGGGAGGGCGTTAATGGAGAGTAGTAAAAGATAATGCGATGAATTGGGTTATAACAGCGGGATGCAGATTGCTCGTGAATTTCATGGTATTTTGTATCAGTGAGTGTGCAATGAATATGGACGTTTTTGTTTCCAATGGGTCTTCCAGCGTCTCCCATTGTTTCCAATGGGCAATCCTGTCCTTCCTTTTAGTAGATCCCTATAACAGCAAGAGGCAGATTGCTTGTGAATTTCATGGTATTTTGTATCAGTGAGTGTGCAATGAATATGGACGTTTGGTTTCCTTGCCTGTGAATATGGGCACACACAGTGATAAAATCAGGTGGGGTGTGCTCTGACCAATGTTCTTTTTCAAAGATTGTTATCTTTAGAACCTGTTGCCATTGCTGAGTGACCATGGGTCACAAATCTCAGTTTCCCCACTTGTTATTTAAGCGCAACAAAGGGGATTCTTGTATTTTTTTAAAATGTTGGTTGAGAACTTTTATGCTTTCGGACCATTTGCTAGCCTGCATATTTAATTAAAATTCAAGTGCCTCTTGACAACTGGATTTGAGTTCTGCCCTAAAATGGAAATCTTCACCTGCTACTTTTCTACCTTCAGTACAAACTAGCTGAAAACTTGGTCAGGAATTTGTATCCATACTGCTTTCCCAAAGGTGTGCTAAAATATTTTTATTTGTAGAAGGTCTCCTGAACTAGTAGAAGGCCTTTAGAATGTGGGTTAGGAATACATTATGTGATTTTTAAAAAATAACTAGGGTTTTTCCAAGGCAGTCCGGGTTCATTTTGTTGCTCTTCTTTTGGGGGTTTGGGAGAACATATTGACATTTTTAAAAAGACTGTAGCATTTGAGATTGAATTTAATAACATATAGTGAACTAAAGTTAGTGACTAAATAAAAAAAAATTATCCACTGTAATGTAGCTTATTTCCAGCCTAAATCAATACAAAATGGAGAATTTGGGACTGGAGTATGATGCTATGACAATATCACCCTGCCTCACAGTGGTTTCCTTTTTCTTCTTTTTTTTGTCTTAGCAGCCCCCTTTTCCTTTCCTTCTTGGTTTTTCTCTGGCTGTTCCACTCAGTCATTTGAATGTATATTGGTAAAAGCTGACCCACCCTAAGGAACTATGGAGGGAAACTAAAATCCTTCTTATGTCCTGGTTTGATAATGGCACATGAGAGGCTAATAGCAGTTAAAAAAAATTATCATTGACAGTTCTTGTGTTTTATTTAACTTTGAGGAGAAATGGTCAGATAGGAATCAGATGTAGGACTTATTAGGTGAACAGGAATGAGGTAACTTTATGTAAAAATAGGTAAAGGTTCCCTTGCTCGAAAGCCAGTCAAATCCGACTCTAGGTTGCGGTGCTCATCGTTTCAAAGCCGAAGAGCCAGCGCTGTCCGAAGACATTTCTGTGGTCATGTGGCCGGCATGACTAAACACCAAGGCGCACGGAACGCTGTTACCTTCCCACTGAAGTGGTACCTATTTATCTACTTGCAATTTAATGCTTTCGAACTGCTAGGTTGGCAGGAGCTGGAACTAGAGACGGGAGCTCACTCCGTCATGCGGCACACTCGGGTCTCAAACTGCTGAACTACCGACCTTCCACAGCCTGCAGTTCAACGTCTTAACCGCCTGAGCCACCGCAGCTCCATATGTAAAAATAAATGCCAAATAATTTGTCACAGAGAAGTAACTGTTTCTGTTATTCAGACAGGTATTTAAAACTTGGGGAGACAGATTTCTTGGTAGTCTCTGCTTACATAGACAAGCATAAGCTTCTTGGTACTACAGACGCTAAAGTTGGTGAAGGCAGGAACATTCATGTTCTGATTTCCCTTCTTAATCTAATCTAATAGGGATCACCCCTTATTCTAGGAGCTATTTCCCTCAGGCTTGAATGGGGATGGCTTCTTGCTTCTCCCACTCCCTAAGCCTTCCTTCGCAGTCAACTGTCAGATCTTCTTCGTGGTCTCTGTGCATTCCACACACTGGGATTTACACCTGCGTTGATCCCTCGTCGGAAGCCTAGAAAGCTTCAAGGATAACCTCTTCTCAGCGGGGTCATCCTCCTTCCTCGCGAGCATGTCCCACTGCGCATGCTCGGAGGTGAGGTAGATCCCGCCCCCGCCCCAGTTCCTTTCTTACCGCCTAAGAGTCGGACGTTAATTTCAGCATCTCTCTAGATAACCTCTAAGAAACACCTCAATAGGTAACAAAATCTGTAATAACCACAAAAAAATGTACACACTACACACCTATGAGGAAGCGTACGGGAGGACTACCTTTTTTCAAACGATGTCCCGATTGTAACGCTAAAATTCCTCCAACTGACGGCCACGACCGTTGCCTGTTCTGCCTGGGAGAAAGCCATAAGCCAGAGCTCTGTCTTCACTGCTCCAGGTTCACTCGCCAAGCAAGAAAAAATCGTACTGCTCGTTTAAAGACTTTTCTGCTAGGAAATGCATTGACTCCTATGATGCCACAGCCCTCAGGATCCCAAAGTACACCGCCTCCCTCTAGTACAGACTACCGCAGCCAGAGGGCGCTGCAGGTCAGTGATACTGACAGAATAGAGCTAGAGACGACTCATTTCACTTTGTTGACATCGGACCTGACTGCTGAAGACTTCTCCTCAGCTGAACCTGATGAAGAAGATCCACATCAGGACACTGAATTGGAGCACAACAATGAAACCTAAGAAATCAAGAGGAGAGACCCCATCTAAAACAGCGCGGTCTAAAACTCCTCAAGAGCAGGCACGGGTGGTTCCGCCGTTACTGCTGAGAGGACTGGCATCAAATTCTCCCTCAGTCAGGCGTGACGAAACCCCCTCGACTTTGATGGCACAAGGGCCAGTGTCCTCATTAGGGGCGAAAAACCCAGACGTTTATCCCCCTCAGTGCGGCCAACACCTCCTTTACAAATCCTGGCGGAAGAAGGTTGCACATCGGGAACGTCATCCCCAATGAGCAGACGAGTGACGCTGGCAAGACAAAGATCAAGAGGCAGGTCCCGAGAGGGAGACTCTACTGAATCCTGCTATTCAGCTGTGGACTCCCCCCATGTCAACTTCGATGGGAGTTCACTGCACTGGCAACCAAACTACCAGCGAGGCAGATCAGATGGCCATGATGCTGGATACAGCTGCACTCGTTCCAGATCCCTATCAGGGGATCGCCGCCACTGGAGATCTCGGTCTAGGTCCCTGTCCCCGAGACGCGACCACTGACGGCACAAAACAAACGCCGAGAGGGGAATGGACCGATGGGAATCGCCGTACAGACTACCGCAGCCAGAGGGCGCTGCAGGTCAATGATACTGACAGAAATAGAGCTAGAGACGACTCATTTCACTTCGTTGACATCGGACCGACTGTTGAAGACTTCTCAGCTGAACCTGATGAAGAAGATCCGCATCAGGACACTGAATTGGAGCACAGTCCGAACCAACCAGTGCCAGAGGGCACAAAGGGGTTCCAGGATCTGATCCAATGTATGGTAAAGACGCTAGGTATACACTTAGCATCAGGATCTGAATAGCAGAGTTGTTTCTCAGTTGTAACTGAGGGAATGATTCTCTGTGAGGTTTACAGTAGCCCAGTCACCATATATGTAGGGGACAGAGCAACCCAGATGGGTTACAAATGGTTTTATACAGGGGTCCCTGTCCCAATCCTTTTGAGCCTAATACGTTGTCAGAGGCTTTCACGGCCAGAGTTCATTAGTTGTTGTAGATTTTCCAGGCTGTATGGCCGTGGTCTTGGCATTGTAGGCCCTGACGTTTCGCCAGCAGCTCTGACTGGTATCCTCAGAGGTATCACAGAAAGATGGAGTACTCTCTGTGTCAAGCACTGGCTGAACATAGCCTAACTCAAAGAGGACACAGTATCTTATTCCAAGACACTGAAAGGCTGGACAACACATCCAAATACCATGTCAGATTACACAGGGAAGCCATTGAAATTCATAAACACAATTTCAACAGGAAAGAAGAGAGTTTAAAAATAAATAGGGCATGGTT